CCATTTTCTAATCTTTATACCATGTTTTTGTTGTACTTTTTCTATGTTTAGATACACTAATACTTACCATTTTGATACAATTGCCTACAGTACTCAGTACATGCTATACAATTTTGTAGCACAGAAGCAACAGGATAGGTGTTTAGTAAAGCTATACCATCTAGGTTTGTGTGAGCATGTAGCCTAGGTGTATTGTAGACTATTACATCTAGGTTTCTGTAAGTACACTCTACGATGTTTAAACAATGACAAAATTGCCCAACAATGCATTTCTCAGAGAGTAACACTGTCATCAAGTAACAGATGACTGTACATTAAAATGTCAACACAAAAAAAACAAAAGAAATCAACACAAAGGTATATTTAAAATGTGAATAACAGAAAATGCCCTATCAAACAATGTACACACTGTGATAACATCACAGAAGACACTAAAGATTACTGAGCTACCTCTGCCTGCAACGCCTATCTATGTCACCTTCAATCATTAGCACTGTATTTTTTTTTTGTACACTTCCCAGGGATTACACTACATCAGCTTCGTGTCAATAGAATGAGCTCAGATTGACCCAAACACACTACCATGGAGAACTCCCTGAAGAAGCTGCTGGCCATTCAATATGTGGGCTTCTGAGACCTCCCATTTTTTGTTTGTTTGTTTTTTTACCAGACCATTAAACTTACTCTGGTTGAAAACACTTCTTAGGAAAAATTTGTGACTGTAAATGACTATACCCAACCACATTTTAGGATGCCAAATCTTTAATAACTACCAGGTATCTTCAATACCAATACTGAAAGCAAAGTATTGTCCTCCACATTAATTTGAGGCTCAGTAGCAGTTTATTTCCCTCTACCTTTCAGAAAGTTCACTAGATATTTTCATAAAGCTTTGACAGTCAAAAAGCCCAAGTTCCTTTTCCTCATGAGAGGTTGCTTCAGGGGTCTGACATCATCAGAGGTAAAGACAGATTCCTAATGCCAGCAAACAAATCATCTGCCTTTGAGGTTTTTCAGTGTAGGGTCCATGGTTTATTCAACTCTCTGACTCTTGTTTCCAACTCATACTGTGTGGCACAAATAGTAGGCCCAAAAGAAGGCTGAATTGAATATATGAATAATTTATCATGAGAAATAGAATATCCAAGAGCATTTATATATCTCAGCTAATCAATATGAGCACTTCTAAGGGAGAAATCCAATTAAAATCAGAAGATAGATACAATCAGAAAATATGATATTAAGAGATTTTAGGAGACATTTTTGTAAAGGTAGAGTATCTTGGTAAATCACCTCATGAGGTATAACATATAGCAGAAATATACTGGCCAAGCCAATGATATTAAAATAGTACCACAAGGTATTCCTATAAATCGCAACATACAAATGGGTAGTTGGGAACCACTAATAGCCAGAAAACCTGTATAGTATTAGCATTTGTTTGTTAGGAAATATAAAGAAGCAATTAGGCACCTTCTGACAGTTATAACAACAGAATCCTTTTATCAGTTCATGTCTTCCAGGAAGGAGATGATGAAAAAGAGGAGTGCTAGGGAAGGGTGGAACAAAGAAACTGCTGTGAGTGCAATCAAAGTTCAGAATAGGAGAAAAGGAACAAGAATATCTACTCCAAAGTAGCATAGGTGGACAAAGCCAGAAAAATCTCCGAGAGCAAGTCTCTGTATTTTTAACACCACATAAAGGAAGGAGTTCTGTAACATTATGAAAAACTTTGCTGAAACTCCCCCTATTCCAAAAGTTTAGAAAAAGTAATTTCACATTGATAAATGAGCTAAAGAAAAATATCAAAGTAAAAACTCCAACAAAATAGGTATTTGAAAATGACAATAAGAAGCTGATTCTGATACATACACACTTTGGATGGCTCATGCTCATATCTGAGAATGTATAATCTTTGTTTTTGTTCTTCACGCTAAGTACCATAGGCTATAAAAAAATCTGGCACAAAGAGAATATACACCATATTTCCAAGAATTGAACAATGAACCAAGTAGATATAGATGGAGTTAACAAGAGAGCTAAAACATTCACAGGGTAGCTTTGCCTGACTCTGTTATTTGACATGGTACAGGTGACCTTAGTGTCAGCCTAAAAATCCACATTCATTCTTCAAGTCTCAGCTAAAATATCAGCTTACTTTCTCAAGGCAGAGTATTGTCAGGGATTGTGAAGTGTCCAGGAGTTTACCCTACTTACAAGCTAACAAATTAACCTGTTACTGTCCATGGATCCTGGCAGAAGACATGAGATTCCTAGACACAGACCAAGGACTTCATTACTTACAGCAAAAGTAGTAGCCAAAGCTTCCTGTTCATGCCAGTTCCTCACATTCTCCAAGTATCGCAGAAAAAAACAACATGAGTTAGGGACAGTGGCCTACACATGCAGTCGGTTACCTTAGAGGAGAGAAACACTAAACTTGGAGATTAAGCACTTTTACAGTGAGCAGTAAGCAAGTCTGTTCTTCGGGGGAAGAAATTACCTTATCCCTCAAGGTTGTATGCTGCAAACCCAACCCTGAGAATGGCTTAGGTAGAGATAAATCAGAAGCTTTCATTCTTAGTATACCCAGAAGGAGTATATGGGGATACTCAGGGCCCATGGAAAATTGCATCTTATAAACTTCTTTATTTTTTACATGTCTAATATTGTGTTATAATTATCCACTTACATGTCTTTCTTTTCAAGTATACTTAGAATTCCTTAAGGATGAAAACTGTTTTACTTATTTATTTATATTTAACTCCAGCAACTACCTAGCACATGTTTATTACTTAGTAGAAACTCTAACAAAACAGTGGATGTATTGAATTAACTCTATCATGGTTACAGTGACTTAGCTTTCAAGCATCTTCTTGATGGGAGGGTACCTACTGGTGGGCATACTGATCCTCAAGGCTCTATTAACTGGTCTACCCCTTATGGCCCAGGCTTTTGGGCATACCCGTGGAAGTGGGAAACATGGCTCTGACTTTAAGTAAAATATATATATTATATATATATACATACACACACATATATATATACATATACATATATACATTGACACACATATATCCATATATATATATATATATATATACACACACACACACACACACACACCCATATATACAGCCATATACATACATATGGCTGTAAATTCTTTAAATGGAATGCAATCTACATTAACAATAATACAGTCGAGAAATGACAAGGAATCTTCAAATGGAGAAAAGCAACTGAACTACACTACTTCATCCTGAGACTCTTTCCACGCCTTTGAATCTTCTTGCAGATTACTAATGCCTCATCACATCTGCCTCCGGGTTGCGAAGTTGTGCTACTTTGTATTTAACTCTCTAACCCACACTGTAAAAGTATACCTTTTCTTTGTGTCCAGTAGCACACTGGAAAAAGACTAGAAATTCAAACATGCCTTAACTAAATGACAAGGCATATCAAAAGGAAAACAAACAGAGTAACACAGACCTTGATTGGTTTATGCAAATTATAACTACCTCTCTCTTGCAGGCCCGATTTCATCTCTTGAAGACTTAGGCAAAGAGGGTGGCCAAGAGTTTCTAACTTTCAAGACACTGAGCTCTACTCCTTCAAATGCATACAATCCCTTCTTCTGGACCAGAAGCTGCCGTTTTGTTATAACAGCTCTTTTCTCATATTTTCAGCACCAAGTTTTTCTCATGCTGCCACCTCTATTATCCTCCATATCTCTCTTCTACTTTTAATATTTATTCACCAGTCCACCTAAACAATCCAGGATAATCTCTCATTTTAAAGTCAGATGGTCAGTGAACTTAATTTCATATACAGCCTTAATTTCCTTTTGCCATGTAACAGGACATTTACAAGCTCCAGGACTGGAATGCAGGTATCTTTGGGAGCCCCTGTTTTGTCTACTATAATAACTTTCTCAAAAAAAAGGTAATCAGGAAGTAGCTATCAGAAGTTAGGAAATATTAGGGAGGAATGCATCATCTCCACTACTTCTGATATTTCCTTCCCTGGAGGAGCTCAGTAACTATAATCACGGCTTCTCTCTGCTCACAGGAGATGAAGTGGTTTATCTGATTGGTAAACTTAGGAAGAGTAAATTGGACATGCTTGTCTCAGAACCTTCCATTTTTCCTCTGGGGAGCAAACCACTTACGGAGAGCACACATTTCACTACTCCTCCAGGGACTCTACCCCAGCAAGCACAGGTTAGGGGTGAGGCTCACCCCTAACCTGGTCTTCCTGGGGTGGGAAGATAGAGAGAGAGCCTGCTAACTTGGAGACTTGGTATCATTTGGCTAACAAATCTAAAACCAAATCCTCCAATTTGGCCTCTATCAGTAAAAAGGGTGATATTTTGACCCCATCGTCCAACTCTTTTGTTTTATTCCTTACACTGTTTAAGAATCCAGGTACCTTCATTAAGACTCCATTACAAACCTCCAGAGAAAGCACTTACTATATATGATGCTGTTTATTTTTCCAGGACGCCTCATTTCTCCATACGTGATTGACTTTTGGGGGGACAAGGTCTTGTTCTGTCACCCAGGCTGGAGTGCAGTAGTGCTAATACAGCTTACTGCAGCCTCAATCTCCCAAGTTCCAGTGATCCTCCCGCCTCAGCCTCCCAAGTAGTAGCTAGGACCACAGACGTGCCACCACATTCGGCTATTTTTTTTTTTTTTTTTAGAGATACAGGGTTTTGCCATGTTGCCCAAGCTGGCCTCCAACTCCTGGGCTCACACCTCAGCCTCCCAAAGTGCTGGGATTAAAGGTGTGAGTCACCACACCTAGCAAGCTTGGTTTTCTTTTTGAGAACACAGTTATCGTGGGAAACAGTACAGCACAGTGATGACGCATGCAGGTGGATTAAAATTGCCTTAGTTCAAATGCTGACTCCATCATTTATATGTCGTGTGATGTGTGGCAGGGTACTAAATCTTTTTTGTGCCTCTGCTTCTCACTTATAAAATGGGAATACTAATTCTTATTTCTTAGAGTGTGACTACTACTCCATCGTATTTAGTATAGAAATACTAAAACAATTTTTTTCATCAAACAGGGTTCTCTGCAGCAGGGATTATGTCTTATTCAGTTTTGTGCCCTCAAGAACAGCACAGGGCCTAGCACAATAGAGATTAACACATGTTTGCTGTATGAATAAATGAAATGAAAAATGAAGCCAAAAACTAAGGTAAGAAAAATGTTCTGCCATATAGCACAATTTGCTTTACTAAACTTAAAAGCCTTTACAGGGCTTAATTTCCAGTTAGCCAGAAAGTCCATAAAACACATTTTTCAAATTAATGGAAAAGGCATTCTGTGCAATTTAGCATTGGAAACTATATTTCAAAAGTAATCCCAAAGCGTTTTCAGCTATTGCCTGATTCGATTATGAATCTTTGCTGCTCTCTAGTGGAAGAAAATGTGAAGCACACAAAGGTGTTATTCTCAATTGGCTGGAGTACCTTTTAAAAAATCAAAATTTTTCTACTCTATCTTATATGTTTTCAAAAAAAAAGTTTCAAAACTTGCATTATTAGCTCAGGTAATAAATTCTTTGCATTCATAATCTAGTCCCTTTGGGAAATCAAATTAAGTATAATGTTTCGCTTTTTTAAATTTGCCCCAGTTGTAACAAATTGCAAAATAAATAGGATATGAAAATTGGGGGGAAAAAGTCACAGGTGCAGAGTAACATTTAGAAATACAACAAATCGTAAGGGTACTTTTGTTCCACTGTTACTTAAATGTTTGTGGATAATCCCTCTGGTGTCTAACCTCAGATTTTAATCCAATTTCAGATCACAGAAGTTCCGCAGAGGAATCACAAAGAGTTCTCAATTCAATCCAGAAAATTTTCTGAGCCCTGAGAAGGCGCAAAAATTGGGAAAAGGAAGGTTAGTGTAGTATACCAAAATGAAAAATACCTCATCTCTGCATGATGGAAGGGACGTGGACACAATACCACTAAGTAAAATGGAAAGCAAACTGTGAGAATATGATTCTATTGGTGATACAAATTCAGAGACATGGGAACACAGGGAAAGAAAGCTTGCTCTAAAAATGCTTCCTAAAGTAGATGGTAGATGAACAAGCTCTTTAAGGATACTTAAATTGTCAACAAAAATAAGTTATTTCAAATAGATGGGAAAAGGTGAACTACTACACATGAGCGGAAAAGTACAGCTTGGATTTTGGAAAAGATGACTAGTCAGATATGGCTGCAGTGGCAAGTGTATTCAGAAATCAAATCAGAAATAAGGGCTAGTTCAAACTCATGGAGGGCCTCAAAATGCCATCAGGAAATCTGGACTTTGATCTATCTGCTTTGAAAAGTCATTGAAAATTTTACAAGAGGTCACAAAAAGATCCATGGTTTTAGAAAGAAATATTTTGCTATATATTAGTCCCTTCTCATCCACTGGTGATAAGAGCCACAGTAGATGCGTGAAACTCTGGGTAGTACTGAACCCACCGTACACTGCATTTTCTCAGTCTGATAACTGAGACACCTACTAAGAAACTAATGGGTAGGCAGAGTGTACAGTGAGGATACGCTGGACAAAGGAATGATTCACATCCTGGGTAAGAGAGAGTGGGATGACATGAGATTTCATTATGCTACTCAGAGCTTCGTGCAACTTAAAACATAAATTATTTCTGGAATTTTCCATTTAACAATTTTAGACTGCAATTGTGGGTAACTGAAACTGCAGAAAAGTAAAGTATGGATAAAGAGAAACTACTGTCGTTTAGAAGATAAATGGAAAAAGATAAAGCCTAAATTCAAGGAGATCAATTTGAAGGCCACTGATATCAACCAGAGAGAAAAATGTAAACCACAGCTGTAATAATGGCAATAGAGAAAAAGACACAGATATAAGATGTTTGAGAAAGAGAACCAAAGTCACTCAACAGTGGATTGATGTGGAGTGTTGGACATGAGAAGGTCCTTAGAATAAGAGAATAAGGAAGTCTCTGAGGCTTTAAGTTGAGGCAGCTAGAAAGATTTTGAAGCCAGTGTGGCAGAGATCACAGAGATGAAGACAATTTCTCATTAATTCCCATACATTGCCTACTTGCCACACATGGTTAAAGGACAAAATTGTTATAGTATTCACTGCTTAGAAATGTTTTAGTTTATTATTTAAATAAAGAGTAGGGAGATCAAAAATATGTGATTTCATACTCCAACTTATTTAAATTTACAACAAAAATCCAAAAGTCACATAATGCCTCTGTGTCTTAAGGTTTTCATTGGTAAAATAAAAGGGCTGGACCATGAGGAGTTTCTAAGGTCCATTTTAGACCTAAAGTTTATGATCTTGGGTCTTGTCATTAGTTAAGGATACGTGCTATAAGTTATATCCAGGGAGCGTCCGATAACCGGGTAGTCTAGAGTTTATGAAAGATATGGAAACTGTTCACAAATATGTAATATCTAAAGTAATGGAATGGGATTAGATAGAATTCTATAGAGGGAGATGAGAGATAAATCTTGAGGACAGATTCATGGAGAATCAGTATATCCTATCTTGTGGAATGCCACCTCTATCTATCCCGTTACCCAAGCTAGAAGAAACATAGATGTTGTCTTTGACTCCTTTCTCTTCCTTACTCTCATTCTAACACCAAATCCAACTGATAATACTTCCAATCCATCCACTTCTTTCCATGCCACTGCCATTTGTCTAACACGGGCTATCGTCATGTCTAATACAAATGATTTAAATAGCCTCTTTTTACAAATTAAATTTTTTTTAAATAAAAGTTATTTTTAAAAGTAAAACATATACATACATGGCACAAAAAAATGTTAAATTACCAAAAGGTATACAATAAAATGTATCCCCCCCCCACCCCTGAGCTGTATTGAATGGATATGCCATAATTTATTTCACTGGTTCCAATTAATGGGCACTTAGCTGATTCACAATCCTTGGCTTTTACAAATGATGTTGCAATAAACAACCTTTCATATACCTTATTTCTCACATTTGCAAATATGTCTGTGGGCTAACCTAAGTGTAAAACATATTTAATTCTCTATTTCATTGGATGGTATCTATTGACTCCATAGTATCAACAACGATTAAATAAATTAGTCTATTTCCATTTCATTTTCACTTCCTTCTTACTCCAGTACCTAATGTTAGTGAATTGTAAGATTTATCTTAGTACTTGTCTTTAAAGTTTTAAATATATTTACCTTCAATTACTTCATTTATATTTTAAATAATTTTAGCTTCTAATTATAAAAAGTGTTTACACTACCTCCCATTTTTTCTCCCCCTTCCCATCTTTTGTTTGTTGTATTATTTCCACTTTGTCAGAATTTATAAAATAAATTCCCTTCTAACTGTAATCCGCATGTTTATTTTCACCTTAATCCCACATTTAATCATACTGGTACATCACTGCCACTCTTTTTGCCATAATTTCTCTGTTTACCTGTGGTTGTTGAGGTTTTCCATCTGCTATAAAAATTCATGAAAGTTCTATTCTCTAGGTTTTTGCATAGTCGAAGATGTCTGCTACCTTTTTACTAGAAGGATAATTTATCTGGAAATGCATTTCTGGAGTCCACACTTTCTCTCCTTGAGGAATTTTAAGCATTATTTCACTGTTTTCTAGCATTGATTGTTGCTGTGGAGAAGTCTGAGCCAGTCTGAATTTGTTTTCTTACATGCAATTAGGATTTTTTGCCTCATTGCATACAAGAGTCTTAATCATGGAGGAATACTAATTTTGCTTGAATATAACATAAATGTTAACAATTTCATGTCAAGTTTTCCTAGGATACCATTTCCATACATATATCCAAGACACTTTTTGTTTCTAAAAAATATTTTTGAATTATATATTTAAGTATTACATTTAGTCCATGGAATCTATACTCATTGTTTTATATCGGTCTTCCTATCTTTCCTATCAATTATTTTTGTCCCTAATACTTCTAAATTTTTTGTGGATTCTGTTTCTTTTTTTTTTTTTTTTCTTCCTTTTTTTTTTTTTTTTTTTTTTTTTGGCTTTTCTTCATTCCATCTTCTGCATCTCCAAAGTGTTTTAAGTTATATCTAGTTTTCTCTGGGCTTCTTCCAATGAGACCTTCATTCCTATAATGGTTTTTCTGATTCTCCATTTCTTCCCTGAGCTCACTTTTCAAGTCCCTCTGTGGTCTTAGTATGTCTTCTCTGAGCCCTTGGAGTTCTTTGAGTTCATATTTACAGAGGAGTACATAATTAAGGTTTGTTGTTTTGTTTTATATTTTAATTCATGCTTGGCCAAAATTTTTATGTGATCTATGACAACTTTCTTTTCTGATAAGAGCTTTTCTTTCCCTACTTGTTTTGGTGTCTACTGTTTCTTTCATTCTTTATTTTTTTTATATACTTATATAGATCCTGTGTTAATTCCTCTTTGATTACTGCTCATGTTTGAATGTGATGAGTTTTTCTTATGATCACTATTGGCAAGAGGTTTATAAGAGGAAGGAGGTAAGACCTTCCTTTCTGCTAACCCAAGAATTTCTGGATTAGCAGAAATTCTTCCCAGTTAACAGTGACTTTCTAGTTAATATAACCCTGTGTCAACATTCTTGTTTGTTTGGTTTTTTTTAACTTCTCCAAAGTCATCAAAGACCAGTTTCTATAGCGCTGTACCCAAAGCATAGTGTCTTTCCTCCACCCTGTACCACAAATAAAATAAAATGTAAAACTCAGATATGGTCTATTAGTGTGATATTTCCCTCATTCCTACCAGTCCTGCTTCTTACTGGTATTGACTTGAGTGGGCTAGAGAGGCTTCCACTACCACCTTCCCATTATTCCAAATAAGGAATTGTTGGGTATTTTCCCAGTTTTGCTTGAGGCATACGGACGCAAGCAGTACCTCACTGTGTCTGCCTATACTCCTCTTCACCCATAACTGCTCTTGGTAATGAGCCCTCATATATTGTGATTAAGGTTTATAGGTTTCATCTGGTTTTTTAAAAACGATGGAAGTTTACATTTCTGTTTTTTGTTCTTCTTACCTTGGGTTGATTTCTGAAAGAATAGGAGGACAGTACCATCTTTACTTAGCCATTTCGAAAACAGAAATTTCTGACCAGGCGCAGTGGCTCATGCCTGTAATCCCAGCACACTGGGAGGCTGAGGTGGGCAGATCCTGAGGTCAAGAGATCAAGACCATCCTGGCCAACATGGTGAAACCCCACCTCTACTAAAAATACAAAAATTACCTGGGCATTGTGAAGCGTGCCAATAGCCCCAGCTACTTGAGAGACCAAAGCAGGAGAATTGCTTGAACCAAAGAGGCAGAGGTTGCAGTGAGCTGAGATTGTGCCACTGCACTCCAGCCTGGTGACAGAGTGAGATTTCGTCTCAAAAAAAAGAAGAAGAAGAAGAAAAGAAAGAGAACAATAGAAATTCCTATAATAAGGTCATCTTAAAAGCCCCATTTCCAATCTCTTCCTTCAATCCATTTTTCTGAATTACAACCAGCGTGATCTAAAATGCAAGTCTAATTGTGTCAGTACCCTGCAATAAATAATTTGATGACTCTGCATACTCTTAGAATAAAAGCCAAACATCTCTATGCGTCCCCCATCTACCTCTCCTGCTTCATCTATTTTTACTCAGCTCCTTCACACTCAATATTACAGCATGTTGAATTTCTTCTAGTTATTCAAACTCCCCATAATCTGTTCTGCCTCCAAGCATGTAATATGCTCTTCTCTTTGCATGGCATATACTTCTCCTGACACTGATCACTCCCATTCACTCTTAAATCTTAATAACCCTTCAGCTCTCAGCATAATAATGATGAGCTTCCATTTTTTATTATTTACAAAAGCACTGTGGTAAGCAATTTCTATGTATTAACTCATCTATTTTCATAGCTAGGCAATGAGGTGAGTGCTATAATTGTCCCTATTTTAAATATAAGAAAACTGAAGCTTTAACAGGTTATGAAACTTGTATAAGGAAACAGAACTAGTAAACGTTGTAGCTGCAACTGAACTCCAGCACTCCAAAGGCCTTATAACAACAAACTGACTATATATTTTACATTATTTATGTCACTTCTCCTTACCCTTCAGCTTTAGGTTATGTGCTCCTTCTACAGGCATCAATAGCTGTTTATACTTCTCCCGTAATAGCTCTTAACACAGTGTGTTATAATTGCATTGCTTATTTTCTTATCAGACACACCCTCCAGCATATGAATTCTCAAGGTTAAGAATTCTGTCTTATTTCCTATTGAATCCACACTGCCTGACACACAGCAAGTGCTCAATAAATACTTTTTGAAAGAAAAAAATTATTTTTCCCAGGATTCAGAAATGGAAGATTTTTTTTTTTAGTAGTAGGAGAATGTGAATAGAGGTTAGTATCACAAAAAAAATTTTCACTCAGCCAGGCCATAAGAGATAACAACTACTAATAGTAATAAAACTTTTCCAGTGTCAAGTCACTCACCAGTTCTAGAAAAGCAGTTCCACCAGAGCAAAAGTACCACCAGAGGCATTTATTATTCTTGCCTGAGAAAGGTGAGAACAGGGTAAGAGAGACTTTATGTCATGACAACATTATATAAATTTCATATTTAAAAAACTTTTTTAAATAGTTTCTTTTAGGAAAACCTTCTTGGGTACAGGATTTGGAGCCATAACAAAATATTAGAATAGAAACCATTTCATCAGACCAACTAATCACACAGAAACTTTAATAGAAGAATGGATTAACTAAAGCTACTCCAATCTAAACCTGTATGGGATTACCCGCAGTGGTATCAAGATGGATCAGGGCAATAGGATGGATACTACTTTTCCATCATGGCTATCATCATCCAGAGCCCTTGACTTTATCTCCTATATTACTCCTTGCAGTAGGTCACCTGCATCAATTACAGCAAGTTATCAGAACGGTAACACACTCATCCAATTTTTGTTAGTAATTTTAAAACCTCCACTGATATCAATGGTGAGAAGTTTAACAAGTTACAAGCTCTTTCAGATTAGGAAACCACAAATACTTGAAGTCCTTCAGCTTGCAAGATGACATTTGCTGGTTTCTTTCCTCAGTCTGGATGAGCGCTCCCAATGCCCATATCCAGGTCTTTCTCAATCCAGATTCCTTTGGCCTACCACCACAAAAGATCTAAATTCTCTCTCACTTTTGCTGAGGTCCCTTTTTGCCCTTTCCCACTCCAAAACTTAAACTATACTTCTTTTCTGTTTTATTCTCCCCTTGAACCCCAACCAACAAGCTTTCTGGATCTCTTTCTACAGAGAGGCAAAAAATTGGCTCATATTTATTTGTTGTATTACCAACATATCTAATGCAAAATATATAGAGAGCCAAGGGATCATACATTTGAGTTTCCAGGTTAAGAGGGATGTCTGCCATAATTCCCTGCATCTTCTTGATTTATTTATGGAATATATGAGATATTTTGATACAGGCATACAATGTATAATAATCACATCAGGGTAAATGGAATATCCATCACCTCAAGCATTTGTTGTTTGTATTTCAAACAATCCAGTTATACTTTTTAAGTCACTTTTAAAGATATAATTATTATTGACTATAGTCACCCAGTTGTGGTATCAAATAGTAGATCTTATTCACTCTTTCTATTTTTTGTGCCCATTAACCATCCCCATTTCCCCCCAAACTTCCCACTACCCTTTCCAGCCTCTGGTAACCATGTTTCTACCCTCTGTGTCCATAAGTTCAATTGTTTTCATTTCTAGCTTCCACAAATAATTTAGAAATTTGCTTCTCTGTGCCTGGTTTACTTCACTTGACATAATGACCTATAGTTCTATCCATGTTGTCAAAAATAACAGGACCTCATTCTTTATATGGCTGAATAGTACTCCATTGTATCTATGTCCCACATTTTCTTTATCCATTTGTCTGTTAATGGACACTCAGTGTATTAGTCCATTCTTACATTGCTATGAAGAATGACTGAGAC